GGGCTGTGTCCCCGGGCGCTGCGGGGCTGCGGGAGCGCCAGGAAAACGTAATACCGACTCGGCTCTCTTTAGCTGAGCTTGATTTCTTGTGATGCCTCCACCCGGCTGAATTCATTTCTAGGGCGCAGCACTAATTTGGAAGGTAGCTTTGGCTTTCTGCTCCCTTGTGAGAACCTGTTGAAATGCAGTTGTGAGTTTGTGCATCGTGTTTCCAGGGGAACCCTACTGTGAATCTTTTGGGATAGCCATACTCGGCCACAAGCAAGACTTAAGCCGCTATGGAAGGATAGTCTTTTAGTGAACCTGAGCCCAGTCACACAACAGTTTTTTTTTCTTTCTTTTCCTTCTTTTTTTCTATTTTTCTGTCTTTATACGAGGTGATTATCAAACTTTGGTTGCCAAGTATCTTTAACCGTGGTTACCCAATTATCTGCTCCACATCTTCATCCCGCCCCCAAACTAGGACTCCTATTTCAAACCCATACTTGTCTCCACTTTCCTGTTGCACAGCCCAACTACCCAAAACTGTGGTCTCAACCGAAACTACCATCTGCTTAGCTTGAATCCCATATCCACCCCACCAAATTAAAAGCGGCCTTTTCATTTGGAATCTGCATCCACAAGCCAGGATTTAGGCACATCCCCTCAGCCACATTAACACCTTGCTTGCTTCTTTTGTTTTAGTAATCTCAGTTTAGTCTTTGCTCAACTTAGCCTTGCTTCTGAAGATGCACACTTTGGCATACTGTAAGTGAATATTATCTAGAGAGTCCAGAGTTGCTGCAGCAACTGTCAAGCACCTGCTTGGTGTTTACAGAGGCACTTGTTCCAGTAGCTCAGATAAACAGGCAGTTGAAATGAAATTGTGCCCTGCTCTGCCTTCGGTAAATGCATGAAACACTATCACTAGGGCCTATTGATGGAATATATGTTTATATGCAAGATAGAGTTCTCAAGCACCCTGCTAAGTTCACCACAAGTCTTTCAGCATCACAAAATTATTTCTGAATAGTCTCCAATTTTACACTGCTTTTTACAAGATGATGATGCAGTTTCTTAACCTTTCCAAGTATGGAATAGAACTTTTAATGACTACTTTGCACACAGAAAGTAAGCTTAATTCTTTTTTTTCCTTGAGAAACATGAAAAACAGAATAGGGTACTGTTTTTATCGAAATGCTTTCTTGACTTCCTGCACTTTTCCTGTCTCTCTTTAGCAGTGGTATAGTGTCTAAACAATAACTTTCTCATAATTTTGCTCCCATTTGTTTGACATTGTGGTGAAGCTATAAGTCTATGTTGATGTCATTATGATTTGGTTTCTTTTCCTTTAAAGACTGCCTCTCACTTCAGTAGAATTCTAGGATCTTGTATTTGAAAATTTACTGCAGCTTTTATCTTTACAGTAATACCAAATATCCAGGATTCTTTTGGGCATTTTTTCTCCTCAGAACTTTAGAGGCCACCCTTGTCCGAATTTGTTCCACATTATCTAGCATGGGTGGACTTAATGAGGCAGTAATTTTTTTTAGTGACCAGACCAGAAAGGAGTAGGTGGTCACCTACTGAAGCCACAGAAACAGCAATGCTGTCTCAGGCCCCATCAGAACAGGAAATGTGCCTACATCAGGGCCAGTCCACTGCAGTCTGCCAGGGGGGCTAATAGGCTGCTTTTCTGGTGTCTTCTGTGCTGTGTGCAGCTGGTAGATTAGCACTTAAAGAGATTTGTAATAGAATTCTACTTTTATGCAATGTGCTAATCTTGAGTTAATAGAACTGTATCATTGTTTTTTACTATTGCAGACTTTGTATGTACACACTTCCCGATGAACTTTGCCATTTTAGCATATACAGTATTTTTCTGTTTTCTGAAAGCTAAACTTTCATACCTAGATTGTGGAGATCCCTGAGGCTACCTCATTTTACGTCTTATATGCATTCAACTTAATACATGCATCTGTTAAACTGCTTTCTGCACAGGATTAATTGTATTCTGGAATCTTGGTTTTTTATTGTTTTAGATGCCACATTCGGATGTACCACCTTCCAATAAAAAGACTTTGAGAACTTTGTTTCTTCCCACTGTTTTACCTTCATCAGTCACATCTGATATGTCACCGTTACGGAATAAACTATTGACATACCGAAGATGCAATGAACAGCAAAAGATGCTTAATCAGTTACTGTGAGTTTCATGTAATTCAAGAAATGTTGAAATTCAAATGAAAGAAACATTGCACATTTGACATATGAGAAATAATAATGGTGTTTGTTAATTTTAGAGGTTTTTGATATCACTATTGCAGTGCTGAACATTTTCCATCTAAAATCATTAATAATAGAAGGGCGTTTGATGGAATCTCTGCTGTTTTTTCCTTTATGGCACCCAAAATCTGCTTGAGTTATGTTTGTTGGGGTAAGTTGTGAGGAGAAAGCGACCTTCACATTTTGAACGTTGTTTATGATAGACTGAAAAAAATCCTTTCTTCTTATGAAAACCTTTTTCAAAGAGAATCAAAGTCTGGATTACTTGCTTGCTTTTGTGTGAATGATCCAAACATGGGTCTACTTGTAACAGGCTTCTTTGTCACTATCTTAATGCATTTGCTGCTGGGCTTAGTGATCTGTGTCACTGCCAGAGGAGCACAGCTGCCAAGATGATTGGTAAATTCACATAAAATTGCCTTTCAATATTTTAATTTGCAAAGGAGGAAAGACAATAGGAAAAGGTTGCTTTCATGTAATTTTTGTAGGTCTAATAGAAAATTCGGCTTGGGTTTATTTATTTATTTATTATTTTGATAGAAATTTATTCCTGAAATACCTACATTATTTTCAGGAACTTAGTGAAGAATCCCTAGATGTGTTGATTATCTTGGCATAAACATGAGGATTATGTGGGCTAAGGTTGCGTTGTTTGTAGTAGTAGTATGAAATATATAGCAAGTTGCATTTCCATGTAGAAGATTAAAAAGATAAGGAAATCTAATGGTATTTGATAGGATTAAAAAGCACAGAAGAGAATTGTTTTGGCCTTCAGGAGAAGAAATGGAAATTAAAGACCTACACACAGTCTTAATTTAACCCATTTTTAGTATTGTCCCTGATACCAATAATTTTATTTTTGTTGGTGTGGGGTTTTAGTGATTCCATTTGCTGTGACTAGATTTGGTGATTGTAACCAGTTACTTAACTAATTCCTATGCAATTGATGTTCCACTTCAGTGGCTAAATTTTTAAGCGGCCAAGTATTACAGGTTGTTTTTTCTTCAAAGATACTTGTATGTGTCCCAAATTGTTTGCTTCATTGGAGCTAGGCAGTGGTATAAAACTGAGTTGCAGGATTGAAGTCTGAGAATAATTTATCACAGAAGTGATAATCTGATTTGTGCCAAAGATAAGTGGGGGGGCTTTCCTTTTTTTTTTTTTTTTTTTTTTTAAATAATGGTAGCAACAATCAGTTATAGAAAGCAGTTAATATATATAGAAGTTAAAAGTAGAGAAAGATGTTTCCTTTCTTTTAGTAGTTTAAAGGCTGTTATAATACAAATCTAACAAACAAGAAGTCTTTCAATTTTAGTTCTTGGAAAGTAAATCCTGACCTTTCAATGATACCTGTAGTAGTAGAGTCTAGTTTTTAGAATGCAGGTGTTCAGTATGCTGAAAACGTCAACTATGTTGTAGTGGTAACTTACTGCGCAGTAAGATGACTGCTCACCAGCCATCTGAGAAACAGTGAATATTCTGCTGCAACATTGCTTCAGTTACATTTTTGTACAAAGTGAACTGTCTTTTAAATAAGGTCCCATGAAGTAATGATTTGAGTGTGTACTTGAAATTGCGAGTCTAACTTCCACTTGGGAGTTTTTAGCGGAGTTATATTCAGATAAAGCTGAAATAGTCCTTGCAAGATGTGTACAGAGTGTATCCCAAAAGGATGGACTGAAATGTTGTAATGCGTAAGATCAGCAGGACATGCCAACATTAACCATTTAAAGTTTCCTGATAGTTATGTAGCAGTTTATAACCACAGGCAGTAAAAAAGAGTTGGTCTTAAAATAAACAGCTTTAGGAGTTTTGTTCTGCACTTTTCTCTTTTTTTCTTTTTTTTTTTTTTTCCCCATAGTACAGTTGGACAAGATCTGTTGTAGTTGGTTGAGGAGAAGTAAGATATAATCCTGACAGGAGCACTGGGCAATTGGATGAGGTGAATCAAGGCGTATATATATATTGTGATTGTAGTCAAGATAAATGTGGCTCTTTGTATAAGAGAAGACAGAGTATGTAAAGGCAGCCTTACTTTTTAGTGATCAAAGAGTTGGTAAACATGAAAAAACAGGTTGCATCAATTAAAATGGTACCATTATCTTTAATATATTATTTGTCATTTTTCTGCACTTCTGACTCTATGTTTTACTTTAGAATTGATCGAGCTTTAAAAGTCTATCATGTATCCATGGAAGAAAAATATCACAGAGATCCTGTACCCCCTATCCCAGAACTGCCTTCCACTGTGAGAAAGTATTTCTTTAATATTTTAACTGTTGCCTCTTTTGTTCTTTGTTATTGGGGCATGTATGCCTCTTACTACGTAGTATTTGCTTAAAGATACTTATCTCAATCCTTAGTAATTCATAAATGTATTTATATGCTCAAGTAATCCCATTGAAATTGATAGTTGTATATCTACAGAGTAAAGTCTTTATTTAGGAATAATATTTGTTAAATTTTATATTTCTGATTTTTTTGTTTGTTTGTTTATATGTTCTTAATACATTAGGATTTTCTGTTCCTCTTTTATACAGATGAACAGTGAGCAAAAACAACGAAGAGTGAGTTAAATTCTTTCTTCTGCTTTTTTAGAGTAGAAGAGTGAATGGTCTCTATTCAGAGGGGTTGAATATGTTATGTGGAATTAATGGCGGTTAAACAGGAAAAGCTTTTTTAGTAGTCTTGTTGGGGAAAAATGGAATAGAAGGCAAAATAGGAATCTTTTCTTGTGGTCCAATAGAAGGAAAGTATTTTTCTATTACAGAAAGTACGTCCATCGGTAATTTAAGTTTTGATCTAAACCTTAGTTAAAGGTTTACTTAGAAAAGGCTTCAGAATCTTTTCAGTTGAGATCATAGGTCGTACTTCAGCCTGTACAAAAAGTAGTTTTTGACATTGTTCACCTGATTTGAAGAATATGTACAAATCCTGGAATTTGTGTATAGTTTTTAAAATAAGACTTTATCTCTCAGAGCCACTTTAAACTCAAATTAACATTAAAATATTTATATTAAGTACCTTAAGGGAACATCTGTTTTTCCTAGCCAATGTTAGGTAAACTCATTCTGAACATTATAGAGATTCAGATCCCTTTTTGTTTTATAACAAACATATCACTCAAAAGCATAAATACCTATTTCTTTGGCAAAAAAAACCCCTATTTGTACATACTTTTTGCCAGATAAATGTTTGTCCGAAGAGCAATAACATGAACCTGGAACTGTTTTATTGTCAGTCATAAACTTCAGCAGAGAACCAAGGAAAATGCCATACTAAAAAGTACAATGTTTTGTATTTAAGCATTGAGACAGGGAGACCATTTTACCAACCATGGTGAATAAAGCGACTTCATTGTCAAGCCTAATGCAAAAATATTTACATAACCAATTATTATACCTCTGACAATATTGTCCTTTCAGACAAACTATCTCTTTATGAAGAAGCGTGTGCAAAGTAATCCGGTGGTTCCCATTCAGCAGCAGTGGTTATTGTCCATGCTCACATTGGTGCCACAGTCGCTTGTGGAAGGCAAAGATAAACAGCTGTTAGCTGAAAAGCTTTTAGGGGAGATAATAAGGGATTATGAAATGAGCATGAGAAGATGTGTGGGTAAGTACCAGAAACTACACAGTACTAATATTAGTATATTAATGTGTGTATATATATTATAAGCTGTCCCATATTCTCCCACTGAAAATAATTTTTCTAGATTGTTCTTTCTGCCAGGCATGATCTTTTAATTAACCACTGACTTCTCTTTTTCTGCCTCATCAGATGTGTATTGGCCGTAATGTTTAAGGCAAAACTTGGTGATTTTATTTGGACTAGTAAAAAGTTAACCAGCTGAAGGTATAGTTCAAGCAAAGAAAAGGCAGCTGTAGACTTCATGAGAAAAAGGTTGATTGCTGATGACCTTATTTCATTAAGTTTTTTAACATGTTTAGTTAATTTGATGCAAGAATGTATTGCTGTTTTCTACTAACGAAAGTAGAAACTTTTAATGTACTAGTTATTCTTTTTTTTGCCTCTTCAGGAACAGCAGCTTTTTTTAAGCTGTTCATCCACAAGCACATCCATAAGTTTTCTGATGCTGCGTTCTATGCATGGGGAAGTTCGCAATAAAAATCTGCAAAGATAATTAGCTGTTTTCAGATATCACTCGTAAAACTCACTTCAATTTTTAAACTTTTTTAAAAGGTTAATGAACTGGAATTTTGAAAGTGTATTCCCTTGAAAACATGTATTAATGTCTTTTTTATTTACATTTATAGTATCTGAAATCTGAAATTGAGCCAAATTTTGTCAATATTTTGGTGGATGGTTGATTTTTTTTAAAATGCGGATTAAAAAAATACACAATTTAACATGGGACTAACGTCTTCGTAATGTCATCAGTGGGATACTTATGTGTATGTGTGTAGTGTCCCACTGTAATTATATTAAACAAAATTGCCGTAAGTACTTAGAATCATAGAATACCTCAAGTTGGAAGGGACCCATGAGGATCATCGAGTCCAACTCCCTGCTCCTCACAGGACTAACTAACACTAAACCATATGACTAAGAGCATTGTCCAGATGCTCCTTGAACTCTGACAGGCTTGGTGCTGTGACCACTTTGCTGGGGAGCCTGTTGCAGTGACCGACCACACTCTCAGTGAAGAAATTACTTAAGAAAGTACTTAATTATTTAAACACTAGTCTATCTGTAAACCTTCATGAATAGGGGACAGAATTGGAATTAAGCCACCTGAATCTGTATAGATATTTAGCAGAAGCTGTGATTTTGAGTTACCTTTGGGAGAATGTGTTTTGAAGACGTGGATGATAGAGTTACCTTTCCATCCTACTATGTGCTTGGTTCAATCTGGAGAAAGACTGAGGAAGTACAGTGCCTATTGAATATGGCTTAATTTTCTTTTTCATATATTTTTTTTTTTCTAGTGCGAAATGTTCTTATTAAACCAGACGTAAAAGGACTTGAGGATGAAGAGGAGGCACCTTTGCCTTTATCACCTCTGTGAGTGGATTAAGTTAGCAAATAACCCACTGGCAAAACACACTCAGTTGCATAAGTGAAGTTCTCGTTGAGCTGCATGAAGAGAATTATGGCACAATATTAAGTCTGGAGTCCCTCAATGAGACATTTTTTTCTGCCTGTAGAGGATCTTGCATTTGAGCATCTTATATCTGAATGCTTTACAAAGTTTAGCACTGACAGTGTTTTATTACTGTTATTACAGTTACATAGAGTAGCACTAATGACTGCAGATGAGACTTCTGGCTCTGAGTGCCCAGACACTGAAGTCATATTGCAGCCACTTCTGGAATGAATTGTGTGTGTATGGGGCAGTTTACTGGCAGACAGCAGCATTGTACAGTACTTTAACATGCTAAAACTGCATCTAATGCCAAGATTTCATACGACTTTGGTCTTAAGAGGTGAAACCTTGAGACCGAACAAAAGGCTATTATGCTCTGCCAAAATGGAAGAGGAATTCAGGTAGACAGAATATAATTATCTGAATTGCACAATTTGCTGAAGCATCAGAATGTGTGCCATCTAAATATTGATGATAAATACTTCCTGTTAGCTATTGGTGAAGTTAGAAGTTTACATTGAAAGAGCTTCAGGAAAAGCAGGTGATCTGAAAATACTCTGGAGTATAAAACATGGTTGATGAGACAGAATATCTTTATGGCTTCCACTGCATCATATTGTGTATGTGTATGGATATGTGTTGGCTCTTAAATAACTACCCATGTTAGGGAACAAGCTTTTTAATACTACTTTTTATATGTAAGAATGTTTTATTCAAGTATTACTTGAGCTCTTCACTTTTTGCTTGTTTGTTTTGGTTGTTTTTTTGGTTTTTCTTTCAGAGGCCTGGATTTTTCTAGACCGTGGCATAACAGTTTTATCCAAGCAAAAAATCAAATCCTTTCCAACTTGCACATTCTCCACCCCACAATGAAAACTCTACTGGATTTTGGTTATGCAGCATTCTCTACCTTTCTTATAGTGGATTTCTCAAGTTTCAGGTGAAGTCTGTTTTGGTGAATTATTAACCCCTATAGGTTTTTGAAGCTGGTAAAGAAGAGTTTGTTTAATTCTATTATTTATCATAGGGGGTTTTTATATAATAAATTTATTCAACGTGTCATTTAATGTTCTTTGAGTAGATTACTTTGTGTTATGACACATTTAACTTTTCTTCTCTCTGTTACATATAAATATTTTATTGGTGCTTAAATTGCTGGTAGTATCAGACCTTTTGATTTATGTTTTGTCTTTAATTTTGTAAAGGTCTCTTCATTATTTATTTAATCTTAATGCCATGATCTCCACAGAAGTCTGGTTGAAGTAGCATTTGAAAAATTGACTTCTAGTAGTATTACTATCTGTAGGGAATTCTACGCTAACCCTAAAGATCAGATTTCTTTCTGGTTTTCATCAGTTGAATTTTATTTTTAATCTTGGAACTTCATTTTCATAATGTTCAAAAAGATAATTTTTAATATCTTTTTCCTCATTACTTTTTCTGGTAACTGTTCTTTATTTCCTGGGGTTTGGGGTATTTTTTCTCTCATTTAAGTCTACAGAAGTGATGCTTAGGTTCCCACTGTGCTTTCTGCTAGAAAAGAATGGGTTTGTAATATAGTATAGATTACTGTTACTTTACTCCATGATTTTTTAAATTTTGTTTATGAAGTTGCCTGTAACTTTCTTTTCTAGATTGAAAGGGCCAATTGACTGTGACTCTTTAAAGACTGATGTCTCTCTAAGCTGTTCTAAAGCAGAAGAGAAGATACTGAATACATGGTATCAAAGAGTGGTCAGTCTCTTTACTCAGAAGGAGTCACTGAATGGTGTAAAGTTAGATCAGGTTGACTCTTTCTATAACTGTGTGGCTACACTTATGTCTAATCAGGTAAAAATCCTTCCTTTCTGTGATAAACTTAAAGTGAAATTTAGGTAATTTTAATGAGTCAGCACATTATATGATATGGGGCCTGTTTAATTAATCATTGTTAGCCATCTGTTGCATATAATCCAGTAAAGTATTCAAAGTGTTAAATATTTTTAACTTCCCTTATTTAAAATAAATACGTGGTCTTGTCTACTTCTTTTTCTTCTAATTTTTAGACACAGGAAATTTATTCATTCTACTAACTAGAATGTAATTAGCTTGAAGAAGGAAATATCTCAGTGTTCTCAGGACCCTTCCTATCACTGATCTTGACACTACAAATATGTGTCATATATTAGCAAAATGAACAAAACCTGGTCTCTCTCCCTTGAAAGCAAACATACCTACACAAACAGACTGAAAGTTCAGCTCTGCCAACGTGGTGTATGCAAGTAGCTATAGTTCTGCAAAATTTCCAAACACAATTTTTTTCAGTGGAAAATGGGACCACAATGCTTTGCAAGTTAATTTTTTTTCTCCCTGATTATTTATAACAAGATGGAAGTTATATGAAGTTTCTCAGTTAATTTTTTTTTGGTTTAGGAATTGTTTTATTTCCTGATAATAATAATAAAACAAGAACATTCAAATAAAATCACTGATTTCAGACTGAGACAATTGTTTTTCAAAGTTCTTAGTTTACAGAAAATTAAAAATCCTTTAACTTCCAAGTAACTTAAAGCATCTGTTGTTTACATTGTTCTATTTAAGAATATAATAGTCAGTGGGAATATATATGTTCAGCAGTTTGAGAAGGCAGTCATTTTTAGGATTAAACCTTTGTTTACTGTGTAGAAAAATGATGGAACAATAGTCTAATCAAATCATTGTCATATTAAAAAAAAAAAAAAGTCAGAGGAAAATGCATTCCAGATATTTCATTTATACTTAAAGCATGTATTAGTAATAGACTTACTTTTGTAGCAAAAATAAATGCATGGGCTTTACTGAAATGTTTGTTCACTTGTTCATTAGTTTACGTCCTTTAAGGGTTGGGACTAATGCCCACTGAAGTCATTAGAAAAATTCACATTACTACAGTTATCTATGAATCAGGCCAAAAGTACTAAAATAAATGGAAATCCTGGCTTGCTGAATGAAGGGAAAGTGGGATGGGGATTTCTGTTCTTTCAACTAATAGGTGATATATGTTATTACCTAGCTGAAAGAATTATTGAGAAGAACGGTTGAAGCTTTTGTGAAACTTTTTGGTCCTGAAGACAGAAATTGTCTACCTTTATTTAAGATGGCATTGACTCTTGATGAAAAGAAAATGGAGTTTTATCCAAGCTTCCAAGACCTAGAAGAAGCAATTCTGTGTATAGTAAATCGTATAGGACAGACTCTCCAGGTGTGCTTTTATCTTTATTTAAATATGTAACTGCTAAGTTTCTCCATACATGAAAATACTAGTAATTTAGGACTCTGACTACCATGATAATGAGAACAGATGCAACTTGAGGTATTTATTTTCCATGAGCATTCTGCAGGTCACATTGTGAATCTTGATGCCCAGCAGAACTCCAGGCTCTGAAACTCATTTTGTTATTCCTTGTTCGTAAAAAATTGGTACACCAGCTACTGGTTGTTTTAGCCTGTTGTTTTAATCTGCAAATCTGTGTGTATGTCTACAAATTAATTGTATGCTTGTTCATTAAATAGAAGTCAGGCTGAAAACTTACCCAGGAAAGAAAACTAGCTAGAAGATAACCTTTTTGTTTTCTTCTTTGGTATGTTTAGAAAACCTGAGAGTGCTTTAAGTATAGGTAACTACATCTTCTAATTTATTTATGTATTTATTTTTAACATTGAAAATCGAGTAGTTTTGCAGTGTATACTTTCTGTGAACTAACATTTTGTGTAGAAATATAATTAGCACCTTAGTTAAATGTGTGATGATTTACAATAAACTTGCATTAATAATTAAGATCCTCAGAGACAGACAAGGAAAATTAGAGCTGATATTCCTTTTCTTTCTAGGAAAAAGAAAAGCCTCAAAACAACTAATACATACAATATCTAAAGATTTATGTCTTAGGAACCAATCTGTGACTCCAGGGAAGGCAGCCTTTATGGGGGCTTTAGATGTATCCCTGTGGACTTAGTATTGGCCTTTAATCGTACATGATGGTACTTTCAGAGAAGTGTTTTGGGTTTAGTTTTGTGTGTTTGCACATAGGATATAATTTAATTTTATGTAAGACTGGATAATTATTTTTTGTCCATTTTGCATGTTTGCTGTTAAACTTTCTTAATCAGGGTCATTCTAGGTGTGCATGAGGCACCTGGCCTTGGTCGTGATTATGGTCTCATACTTTTCTGATAGAGTGTCTTCTGCAGATTGCAACTTGCTTTTAAAATATATGTATTCCTGCATTGCTTTTTAAAATTTAAATAATCAGAACTTGCACTTCTATTAGAAGATCCAGACAATACGTTCTTGGCTAATGGGAGGCACTGCAACTCTGGACACTGAGCTTCCTAATCATGTCATAGTATGGGCCACATCTACACTAAAAAAATCTATCAGAGACAACTTAGAAGGTCCAAAGGAATATTTTGAAAACTATGGTGAGTGATAGAAGAGTGTTTAAATAACTGTGTTACTTCTTTGAAATAAGTAACTTACTGTACAGTGTATGTGTTATAATAATATTAATATAATATTATTGAATTGTAGTTGAAAGGTATGGCTGGCTTGTAGATGGAACTGCACAGGCACGGATAGAAAGATTTGAAGCAGAAGAACACAGTTTTGATGAATATACCACTGTAAGTTTTAATTCTACATTTTATTTATAATTTTTACATGTATACAGCAATAATAAAAAGGGAACAGAGGGTAATGGGTACTTAGCCTTTAGGTAAAAATTATGTTGACTACCTACAAATCTACAACATAAGTGTTTTTTTCCCTAAAAGTCTGTAGTAAATAGAAAAAATTATTACTTATTTTCTTCAATGTGTCACACTTGTATGTGTAGCCAAGTATTTAAATAACAGCTCTGAAGGATAAAATCTAACATTTTTCTGAAGTTCATAGATGAATTCTTCACCCTCAAGAAGGAAATCTTGAGTTTACCAGAGGTGGCTCATTTCCCTATGATCTGTTTGAATTGTGAGGATTTAAAGCAAGGTTTGGCTAGTAATGCAAACACCTTTGCAAAAATGCTAATGGACAGAATAGTTGCGAATCACAGAGAGGAAACTGAAAAGTAAGTAGAATTTTCTGTTTGTGAATACTGTATGCATTAAATACATAGTAGAAATGTGTAGAAGAAATGTAAATATACCGTACTCCTGTTCAATGAAGACTCTTGGCTACCCAGTGTTCTGATGCAAGTTGCACCAGCTGATGTATTTTTTCCTCTGCTTTAGACTCAAAAACTAGTAGGGGAACTTACTAACAGATTTAGATAACGGAGGAGCTAAAAGATTAAAGGGCTTCGTTACGGTTCTGGCTTTTTAAGTGTGAAATACAGTACTACTGCACTGTCAAAGGAAAGATTAGCTAGATTCTTTTATTACACGACAGATACCTCTAGGTTTTCATAGATAATGACAGATAATAACACTGATCAATTCTTAAGGTTATTTTGCAGGTATGGATTAAATGATGAGGGAGGTCATATTAAATTGTTTGGTTAAAATGTACAATTATAGTCAAGTTTTATAGTGATTCCGCATTATCAAAATGACAACATATTTACTAGGAAAGTGTTTGTGTGTATGCTAATGATACTGTACTTAAGTTCATGTACTTACCAAAAGTAATTGAAGCATTTATTGCAAAAGAATACCCCAAAATCCAAACAAATCAATTATTGCAAGTTAATAAACAGTGTTTTTCTAGACTGACTTAGTCATATTTCCTATTTAGTTTCATAAAGTAATGGAGTTTGTGCAGGGGTAATACTTGAAGTAATGAAGTAATTTGGACTTTTAATTCCATTAAAGCTGAGCTTGAAGCCAGTCAAACTAAAATCTTAAAATGTTGATATTTTCTGTTAAATAAATGTATAGGATATGCAGGGAATTTGAAGCAATTAAGGAACGTGCATTAAAAGTTCCTGAGACAACAGAGGAAATGGTGGAAACAATAGCTTACATAAAGAAGGTCAAAACCAAAGGTATTCAGGATCTGTTGTTAAGAATCAAGGTAAATGACTATCCTTTAATTCTTAATCTTTTGCCAAACGTGCTGGCCTATACAAATACAGAAGTCATTCTGGAGTGCAGAGACTTTTGTCTGATCACGCTTCATGTATGAATAAACTGTACCCTCAGTGTTACTTCAGAGAGAAGTGGGAAGTCCAGCTCATTCTTTGTCGTATGCCTTTCTTTCTTATTCCCCATTCCCACGTGTTCTGCATGTCAGTGAGGAAATACAGCTTTTAATAAATCATAGCAGATTGTTAAGACACTCAGTGTGTTGTTTGTACCTGAAGACTTACTTCAGGGCTGCTTAAAAAGCTATTTGTGAAAATGTGACACACGCAAGTGTACAGAGAATTTTATGTGTAAAAACAGTCATGACTTTAAACACACAAGAAGCAATTTACTATTTGAGCAGAATATGGATGATGTTGCATTAGTACTTTGTGAGCGCTCAGAGAACAAAATTGAAAAATTGTGTAAGGTGTGGGTCAGCCAAAAACGTTACTGGATAAGAAGCCCTTTGCTATATGTTATAATGATATGTATCAGATTTTCTGTTATGGTAATAGGTGTGTAAATATAACACGTTTGTTCTGCAGAATTTATATTTTTTTATATTTTTTAATATTATTAGGATTTTTGCATGTAGATTTACAGGCCACAGGAGTCATATTTAGAGAAATAAGCTCACAAACGGGGCAGGGATTTGAATAACTTTTTATATGTATTTTGAATATTAATATTCAAATGGCTGAAGTAGCTCTGAATTCTGAAAAGTCTATGAAATACAGACTTCTATTTTATCTTCGTAGATAATATTGTCCTACCCTGAATTTTAAACAGACCTATGATAACTAAAGTTTTGTGAAATCTCTTTTTATAGGATTGCTCTCGGCAAATGAATTACTTCTTAGATGTTTTTTTATTTGCTCCTGAAGACATTGCACTGAATGCAACAGCTCTATTATGGCCAAAGAAGATTAACCCTATTTTTGATGAGCATGATCATGTAAGAGCATTTTCTTAGTTTATGGTATATTTTGGCTTGTTAGACTTGTTGAGCTATTTATTTCCTCAGCAGGCTAAACGTATCTACACATATAATGTGAACCATACTAATTTAGACATATTTCCAGTTTTTTGTATCAACAGAGGGCTTTTTGTGGAGTAATTTAAAAATGGTCGCTGTAACTTAAAACCTTCAGCAAGTGTTATTATCTTAATTTGGTTGTGGTCAGTACTAGGTAATTCATAGGAAGGTGAAAATTCACTACTGCAGTTGACTAGTACTGAAAATGTAACTGCCAGGCCCTTAATAAGAGTTAGTGCTCTGGACAGGAAGTCATTTAGTTAAAACGGTATTTTGTTCTGTCAATAAAAGAGCAGTGGGAATTGTGTTTTTTAGGTAACAATCATTAATAGAAAATATGCAACACCTAGTTTTCTCTGTGTGACTGTAGATTACTTTTTCTTCCACTTGTCTGTATTCATCTTGCTAGCATTCTTTCTCTCTGGCTATGACACAGTAAGTCATGCCTTTTGGTGTTCTCTTGCCTCTATTGTAATTTAGTGTAAATTTAATAATTTCTTCTCAAAATGTTTAAGAATTAACAATTAACATTTTTTAAAATAAAAATACCAATATCTTTTAAATATCACAATTGAGGACTTCTCTTTCACTAAGTCTTATTTAGATACTAAGGAGTATGTCCAAGGGTAGTAAATATGCCTCTGACTTAGCTGTCTCCCAAGCTGGGTACGTTGTATGTCTGCAAAATATTTTGTTTGCATGTTATCATTCTTTTAATCCTGAAAAATAAATGAGTGAAATTAATTTTCTACTTGTACACAGAGAGTCTATGATGCTTGTTCAAATTCTTTTTAATGAAAATGATAGTACAGAGTGTATCTGGCTTAACAAGAGTTCCTCAGGAGTGTATGTCTCCGTAGCTGACTATCTAGCAACTTGCATTGTGCTAGAGCTCGAGGACAAGAATAGTTTTACATCAAGATTTTATGAGTCTGCATATTTGCATCTTATACTCTCAGATATGAGTCCATTCTGATTCTAATGCAGTAGGAAAAGACTGGTTCCGTCTTTGGAGAAGTTCTATTTGTCTGCTTCACAATTTTTGCATGGCAATAGGTCCTTGTCTTAGGAGATCTCCTCTGCCTCGGTTGATTTCTTGTTTGGTACCTTCAAAATAACCCCTCTGTGTGCAGACCCTGTGCTTTAGGGTGGTCTTATGTTCTAGAATTTCTGCCTTCTATAGCAGTAGATATGTCTGGAATAACATTGGCTTTCAACAACTGTAGATGTCCTCTTTTGGCAATAAAACACTGAATCCCATCAATGAAAATCTCTCTATTTTTTCTTGTCTTTTGTCTCATTGCTGAAGGAGGCCTTTAAGGCAATTGTAACTGCTATGATTATTGAGATAAAGGTTCCATGTTAACATATAGAGGTTGCACACACTTAAACGGGACATGTAGAAAGCAACTCCTGAAGACATGTCAACTATTGTAAGGATAATAACTTGTCTGTATTGTTTATTTTCTCTCTGTTTGTGCTAAATGTTTAATTTAGATGGTACTATGTATGTTAATCATTGAAAGGACTTACAATCACTTTTGTGTTGCTTTTTTACCATTAAAAAAAAAAATCAATTGTTTTGTAGCTGATTGAACAGTCTAAACGTAAAGGAGAGCAAGAACTAATACATAAATGTGAGAAACTGATGGTGGAATTAGACAAGCTGACACGTTCTGTGACAGAGTTCGAAGAATACTCAGAACTGGATTGCATGCAACAGGTCTGATTAACATTTAGTATAAAATGGGTAGAAATGTTTTGTGTGTTTAATACACAAGGGTCATGGAAGAAACTTAGAATTAAAAGTAATCAGTTATTTTACCAAATGTCAACTAAAATATTTATTATCCTCTTGCCACAATGAACAAACTCTTAAAATGACCCCTGCCCACCCCCCCTTTTTGTTTTACATTGGCAATAACATTTGACTTAAAGGAAAGTTTACTATAAAGTTGTGTTTAAATTAGCTGAAAGGTAATCCCAGCAAGGACTGAGATATTACAGATGTATAAAGTGAATGATTTTTTTTGCTCTGGTTTATATAAAGCATGGAATTCGGGCCCCAGTGACATTATTTGCAAATAACTTCGGTGGAATCAGAATTTCCTTCCCTGTTTTTGGTATATTGAGGAAGTGAAGGAAAAAAAAGCAGCTTAGAAAGAGTGATTGGTAGCAATTTGATTTTTTTTTTTTTAATTTTTTTTTTCTATGAACCTCAAAACTTCTTTTTTCTGCTAATGAAGTGCAGACCACTGGCTCCAAAACTTCGCAAATTTCTAGAAGTATTTTATAATCGCCAGAGCATGTCTTGCACTTTAATTGTGCTTAGTAATTTTGTTTTTTAAAAACAAAACACTTCAAAGCACAAAACAGAAATCCTAAGCTAATAAATCCCAGTTGCCCTTATCAGGTACATAAGAATGTGTATGCCTGCCTCCTGGAACAGTGAATTTTAAAGCTCAAACATTTTGAGAGGTTTTATAGTCTTAAATTCAGTAATGATAAAACCAACTTTATTTTTCGTAGTGTTAATCTGGGTTCTTCACAGTTTATCTACTCAAGGATAAGAAGATGAGTTTTTAACTCATGTTTTCTAAAATATTAATAAATACGAAGGCTTATTATATTTTGATATCTTATTTTGATAGCTGTTCAAAGCATAACTTAGTTATCTCTCAAGACATACAATTATTTTATTTCAGTATGTGGCTGACCTTAGGGCTTTACAGAAACGCATACAGGAGGCTGATGAAACAGTAGTTCTTATTAATAAAGAAGAGACTCTGCTCGAGTGGAAACTGAGTGACTTCCCACTCCTCAACAACTTAAAAGTTGAGATTGAACCATATCAGAAACTCTTTCATCTTATACTGAAATGGCAACGAGCAGAAAAAAGGTAATTCAGCTCGTGAAGCTAAATGGTGAAGGGTGGGAAAAATGCTCATGCTGGTTTTGTTCATGTCAGATGTAGAATATGGATTTGTTTTCTTATAAACATTTATTTGTTATTAGCAATCCAAGTATAATAGTAATATAACTTATATATCAGGGTTGTTATTTTTAATTCAGCTTGAAAAAATGTCTGTTTATTTTTTTTTTTTTAATGTAATGCAAAGGAGTATATCGCATATTGGGTTCTAATTGTATTGGTCATGCTGGTGAAGCCTATAATAAGACAAACTCTGTGAAAGAAATGTATTAGGAAGAAAAAATTTGGTTAGCAATGAGCCATTTTGTATACCAGAAAAGAAAGAAGTTCAATTAGAAAGTTCACAATCTGTGTGTAATGAAAACCATTTTTAACCTCATGGCTGTCCAAAATGCGTTGTAGACATGCTCAAATGATTACATTGCTATCTGGTGGCTAGATCCTATCACAAAAACTGTAGTATGTCTGAGTCTAAATTAAGTGAGATTGTTTACCAGTTCCTGCACTCTTTGGAAGGTATAACGTGATATGGCTAGAAAGTATGGATTTTTTTGAAAATACAAAAGTCTAGTATATTTTGATGTCATATGTTGATCTCTATCCAGAGCTTAACTTAAATATTTCTCAATCCATGCAATTACTTGGTTTCAGTATGTGACTGACTTGAGAGAATTACACAAATACACAGAAGAGTGTGATCAAGTCACCTTTAGTTGTGCATTAGCATTTTACATAGAATGACAATAACTGGAAACAAGAGCTTTGCTCTAATTTAAATAACTATTAATCTATGTCTTGTTTGTGTTGCAAAACAAAGTGTTAATTACTTGTGGACTATTTGTTATTCTGTTTTCCAACTTTGTGGTTTTTCTCAGATGGATGGATGGTACCTTTTTGGAACTAAATGGGGAAAGCATGGAGGCTGAGGTTGATGAGTTTTTTAGAGAGATACACAAAGTGTCAAGACTCTTCCAACAAAAGCAGAAGAAAATTCAACAGGAGTGGAAAAAGACATCACAACACAGAACTGTAGAAGAGAAGACAGAAGAAGAAACAAAAGCAAATCCAACTCTTACAATGTGTTCTTCAGTTCTGGAGCAGATTAAAGACTTTAAGGTAAGAAAAGGTGAGGGATATTAATATTTGATGCTGAGGGACAAATGCTAAATTCAGCACTCTATAGGTAGATGATGCAGTGTCAGAGACTCCTATTATTACAGAGAGAGAGAGAGAGCTCTGAATACCATTTCCAGATTGTACCATCCCATTGATTTTAATAAAACTGGATTTTGGATATCTTTGTAGTTTTAGGAATGTGAATTGTTAAAGAGTAGACGCATACAGGAGAAAAGTAATTTTTGGATGCAGAGAAACATTTAAGGATGTAATTGGGAATTTTGAAATGGGACTATATGTGATGTTAATGGAAGCCCAATTTAACATAATATAGCTGAAAAATTGTTCCTTTTCTCTTTTCTGCTAAGATTCTGCTTAGTAGTTTTATATTTCTTCTTCAGTAATTTACTATAATTATTTAGAAATGGAATGGGTGACTGAATGGATCCATCTGCACTTTTCAGAAAAGATTTTCATGTCATCAGCTACTGCAGCAGAATTTTAAATGCACATCAAAGATGATTAAGAAGTTAAGAAATAATGCACATCACAATTTTTACCTTGTAAATGTTTTTCCTCAATTAGGAGAATATTCCCACTGTGACTATCTTTTGTAACCCTGGCATGAGAACTCGTCATTGGCAGCAGATGTCAAATATAGTAGGATATGATTTAACACCAGACTCTGGAACTACCCTGAGAAAAATTTTGAAGCAGAATCTAGCCCCTTATTTGGAGGAGTTTGAAGCTGTAAGTGTAGGTGCAAGCAAGGTAAGCATAGAGATTTGATAGTGACAAATATAGCATCAGGTCTCATAGTGATGGCTTTTATGGCTTACTAGAATTTTTTCTCTTTGCCCTTATGCAACAAAAGAGGTTTATTGAGACTTTGGCCCGTTAGATGGTAATAGTGAGTGTGTAAACATTTTTATCTCATGTTGCATCATTAATATTTCCCTAGTGTACTGCTTTCTGTGTACTAGAAAATTATATACTAAGAAGTTAATTTATGCTGTTTGAGCAAAATAGCTTATTCAGCTAGATAAGCTCATATATTGAATTAGTGAGCTGGAAAAAAAATAATGCAATGACTAAAATAAACTATTTTCTTTTTAACTGTAGGAATTTTCCTTAGAGAAAGCAATGCATGCCATGATGGAAACCTGGGATTCAATTTCCTTCAATACAAGTGTGTATCATGAGACTGGTACTTATATTCTGTCTGCAGTGGATGACATTCAATCTGTTCTCGATGATCAGATTACGAAAACTCAGACAATGAGAGGATCACCTTTCATTAAACCGTTTGATAAAGAAATCAGGGTACGATGAGTACTTTTATTTTTTTTTTTAAACCATTTTTATTTGCAGGGTAACTATATTGTAGGAGTATGCCAATTGTATTACAGCTTTATTGTTTGACTTGCTAATGAAATGCTTTCATTGATTTTTTTCAGCAAGATTCTTTTGAGTTCACGTAAGTCCTACTTACATTATTTCTGTGTTGGAATTCCCTCTTCCATTCAGATTCAAGTGCAACTAAGAGAATGTGATTATTTTTTAGCATATTTTGCAAAATCACTATTTCCATTAGTGTCTTTAACTTTGCTGCTTAATAACTGGGAATTATGTTTTGATTATTTTTAATAATCCTTGAGTTTTGGACTTAAATTTTGAACTATAGTGTTTTCATCTGGGTAAGGAAACCTCTTGAGGGCTGGTAGAAGGTTTTTTAATCAGGCCTCAGAACAATGATGGGATCGCTTTACACCTGCTTTTGTATTTTCAGGGCTAGAGTAGTCTTTGTGGTGCTAACACCATGACTACTGACAGGAGAAAAGCTGGTGAAATTGCTTTGCAGTTACTCTCCCTAGTTTTTTGTTGGTTTATGTAGGAAATCTTCAGGTTCAAGCAGGCTCAGTGGTCATAGGTAGTATTTACCCTTTACGGGCAACCTCTCCAGCCTCTTCCGGAGGTATCTCCTATTGTTCACATTAGGGGCAGAATGCTGGACTGGCTGGATCTCTCCTGTGATCTAGTGTGGCCTTTCTGATATTCTTGTGTCCCTGCTGTAATTCAGCTGCAAACCAAGAGCTCCTTGCTGCGGGGAGATAAAACAGCACTTGTCACTGCTAGCTTCCTGGGTATTACTTAACCATTAAGTTGTTAAAAGATCATAGCACTGAAGTGATAAACTGCATTTTGCAAAATTCATTTCCGGGTAAGTTAAACTTTCTGAACTCCTTTGGCCATCTGTATACATGGAAAAACCTAAATACTCCTAAATATTTTTCTTTTGTTTTGTTCACTGCTAGACATTTTTATTTTCTCCTTGGGAACTAGAGTACCACAGTGTCTACCTTTCCTGTATTTATTCTCTCTAACATTATTTGTTTGGAAATACTAAGGTAACGTTCTTTAAATGTTTATTAAGGAATGGGAAAATCACTTAATTCAAATTCAGGAGATTATTGATGAATGGCTGAAAGTGCAAGCACAGTGGCTTTATTTGGAACCCATTTTTTCTTCTGAGGATATTATGCGACAGATGCCAGAAGAGGGGCGTCTCTTTCAGACTGTGGATAGATACTGGAGGGATATTATGAAGTATTGTGCCAAAGACCCAAAGGTAAGGAAAATATGCAGTACTAAAAGGAAACAGTAGCTTCTCTCGGGTTTTTTTTTTGTCAATGCTTTTGTTTTCAGAATACATGCAATGAACTACTACATCAGTTGCCTAGGCTTTCTAGGAACAAAGCCATGTTGTACATTATTTGAATAACTTCTGCTGTTTGAAGTATCTTATTTATAACCTACAGTTTGCGTGTGTTTGTTGTTGCTGTTACAGGTTCTTGTTGCTACTTCCTTGATAGGATTACTGGAGAAGCTTCAGAACTGCAATGAGCTTCTTGACAAAATCATGAAAGGGCTTAATGCTTATCTTGAGAAAAAACGTCTCTTCTTTCCCCGGTATCGTGAGTTTTGACTATTTAGAAAACAAAGATTCTGGATGTTTATTTTGTTGTGAATAAGGTCAGCCTTTAAAGTAGCTTGATAATACAGTTGGCTTTTTTCTTTTTTCAATTTTTTTTTTAGCTTCTTTTTCTTGTCTAATGATGAAATGTTGGAGATCCTGTCGGAGACTAAGGATCCTCTCAGAGTTCAGCCTCACTTGAAGAAGTGTTTTGAAGGCATTGCTAAGCTACATTTCCTTCCCAATTTGGATATTAAAGCAATGTATAGTTCTGAAGGCGAGCATGTAGACCTGATTTCAACCATTTCTACTGCTGAAGCTCGAGGTGCAGTGGAGAAGTGGTTAATTCAAGTAGAAGATATTATGCTGAAGAGTATACGTGATGTTATCGCTAGATCAAGAATGGTATGGGGTTTGTAACAATTTAGTAACTGTGGCACAAATAGACCTTTCTTTATTTTAAGACTCTCTCTTGGCTTCCTAAAATTTTTCCGGAACACAAGAGTTGATGAAGTTATGGGGCCAGGATCAAGTTAACATGACTTGTATTTATAGGCTGGTGATGTAAGTAAGAGTTTAGTTTGAATAAGAATCAAGTCGTTTTCCTGTAACACTGGATATAAATTCTTTTAAAAGCTTGGCAGCAATACTGTGTTTATAGGATATATTACCTGATGTAAATAAATTATTAAGGGTTTTTTATTTAATTACAAGTTAGAAATGCAACACTTGTAATATGTTTGCTCCCTCCTGAAAGAAAATCATTAGCCAGAAAATGTTTCTTTGTATGAAGTTAGCAAGTTGTGAATATTTATATAATATGGAAAGATAACTGCAAGAATCTTTAAAATTATTTGATAACAAATTGTAAATCTAAGGGAAAAAGAGCATTTAAAAGTTCATTTGGACTTTGAAAATAGAAAAATAATAATTTTTTAGCAAAGAATATTAATAGGATGACATTATATGCTTCTGTATTACATTATGATATATATGCACTGACACTGTATTTATATACTGTATTTAACTCTTTCAGGCATATCTAGAGACTGAAAGAAAAAGATGGGTTCTGGAGTGGCCTGGACAGGTAGTATTGTGTGTGTCTCAAATGTTCTGGACAAGTGAGGTACATGAAGTTCTTTGCAGTGGACCAGAGGTACTTTGTAATGCATAATCTTTTTTAAAAAATCTTTATTAATTTTTCATTTCAGCTAATGTATTTTGCTTAACCAAATATTTTTCTACAATCAAAATAAAATTTGAAAAAGGATCAGCATATGGGTTTTGATATACATGAATTTATATACAGTGATTTATACCTTTGATTCAGGTACTTGAATATTCTTGTTTAGAGCAAGCATAGATTAAAATGTAGCTTTGCAACATAAATGCGTAACTGTGAATGAGAGAGAAGCTGATGCAAAAACATCACAATGTGAAAGAATGGCTTAATAAGCAATCTCCATTACGATATTTAGTCAACATGAAGAAGTCTGGAACGCTTGAAACTGTCATAGAATCAGTTTCATAATTACCTTTTTTGTCCTAGGGTTTAAAGGATTATTATGATACACTTCAGCTTCAACTTAATGATATTGTAGAGCTGGTAAGAGGAAAACTGTCGAAGCAAACAAGGACTACGCTGGGTGCCTTGGTTACTATTGATGTTCATGCTAGAGACGTCCTCATGGAAATGATTGAAAGTGGTAATTACCTTTTAAAACATTTTTCTTCACATGTGGCTTAATACATAGTTAATTAAAAATAGTAAACCAATCTGCCTAAAACACAACAGTATTAAGATATATATGTGAGTATTTGGACGTGAGCATCAACGTTAATAATTTCAAAGCTGTTTTAAATTTAAACCTAATAGAAAATCCAGTTATCTAAAACATCTCTTATGATTACTTTCAATTCTGTGTTTATCAGGTGTGCAGAGTGAAACAGACTTTCAGTGGCTTGCACAACTGCGGTATTATTGGGAATTTGAGAACGTTCGTGTCTGCATCATTAATTGCAATGTAAAATATGCCTATGAATACCTTGGAAACTCACCACGCCTTGTCATTACTCCTCTTACAGACAGGTGTTACCGCACCTTGGTATGATGTTCCACCAGTGCTACTAAATACTGTATTTACTGTAGTATAGTATTTCTTACATTGTTCATTACAGCCATACTTTTAGGGCTTGCAGTTGCTGTCAGACTCTGGTATTTCTGTTAAAAAGCAGTTTTCAAAGATTGTAATTTCTATAGAATACTGAACATGAAACTGACTTCTAACAACACATCTGGACAGCCCACCAACATGACTGAAACATTAGTGGATTGTTCTGTTGTGGATGTGTTTTTTAAAATACAAACAGAAAAAATGCCCAATGTTTTTATTGCTGTCTAGATTACGAGAACACAAAATCCTTTTCTGATGTTCTGTGGTTACTAAATAAAATGGAGAAGGATCCACTTGTGATCGTATTGTTCCTAAGACTAGTACAACAGTTTGGCACCTTTTTAGTATCCCTGTTCTTGTTAGAGGTGTTTATTATTATACTGGTCTGTCCTCAACTAACCTAACAACTGAAAGTTACCAAAGTCGTCTCAGATACGGCTTTTCTGACTATCATTTACTGCAGTTTATTTGGCTGGAGTATGGTTTCAAGTTTTACTAGGCACCCATCCTCCTTTTATAAGATGGTAATTTTCATGCTGTGGAGACCCCGTAGGGTTTAAGAAAGAAAAGGTCTGAAAAGACCTGACTGATGCATCTGAAGATTTTTTTTTGCCCTCTTCATAGCTTCAATTTTTATGGTATGGTTCTAGCTGATGCTTGCTACCTATTTGTCAAAACATCAAGGTACATTGGTGTGAGAGGGCGATACAGCTGGTAGTCTGTTTCTTTTTTAAGCTCACAGACCTTGAATCTTGGAGCAAAGCAATGGGAATCCTGGTACCCTGGCAAATGCAAGTCTCATCCTTTGCCCACAAAGGTCTTAATAGAGTATTCCCAGTGCTTGTCAATATAGATGTGACCCTGTAACTGTGGATTGGAAGCCAAATACATCTGAGTTCCTGTTTAGAGTCTGCAACTTTATTTTTTTCTGTCGGATTTTCCTCCTACTTCAACGGAATATAGGAGAGAATATGGAATGGTCAATGGGATACACATGCAACAAATGGGGACAGTGCGGGAAACAAAAAAGGAAAGAGGAAAAAAGCATATTGAAGGAGAAGCAGAGATAGAAAAGAGTAGCAACCAAGTAATTGCATCAAATTTAATTTCAAAGATGTATCTAAGCAAGAACTGAAAGATTGGGTCCAATAAAGTTTGAGTAACTAATCATGGTCATGATGATAATAAAACTGAACTCTCTGTTCTGGTCAAAATTCAATTCTCTTGTATATAGTTCCAAGCTGTAAGTAAATTTCAGATTTTTTTAAATTAGTATAACCATACTTTTTATGTTAGTTTTGTACATTCATTGTATCTAATCAATTTAATTTAACATTTTCATTCAGAATAATTTCATATGAATGAAGTACTAATAATTTCCATAAATTATTTCTGTTTCTTAGATTGGAGCCTTTTATTTAAACCTCGGTGGTGCCCCAGAGGGTCCAGCAGGGACAGGTAAAACAGAGACCACCAAAGATTTGGCTAAAGCTCTTGCTGTTCAGTGTGTTGTCTTCAACTGCTCTGATGGCCTCGATTACCTGGCAATGGGAAAGGTAACTAGAAAATAAACGTTAGGCTTTGTATTTTATTTTTAGGATGAAAATTGTAGGGTGCCTACTTTGCAGAGACACTTAAATAAAAGTGTCACCTGTGGTCTGCTACCCTTGGACGCTATATACTGGTCTCTACATATGTTTAATTTTTTATGCTTTACAAAATCCTATTAAGTCACTAATTAAAACATGTAAAGAAACAAGAGTTCGCAGGATCAGGATCTTCTGATTTAGCTTTCTTTAGAATCAAGAAAAGACTTTGTTCTTCAGTACATCACTGATCTTTGCTCGAAACAGGCTTAGATATTATTGTCATAATTGTATCTTTCATGTAATTAAACTTCTGACATGATACTCTTAGTTTCTTTTGAATCTTCTAAGATTCTGTTAGCAATATTATTGCAATCTTTCTTCATTTGCAGTTTTTCAAGGGTTTGGCTTCATCAGGTGCATGGGCGTGTTTCGATGAATTCAATCGCATTGAACTGGAAGTACTGTCTGTTGTGGCACAGCAGATCCTTTGCATTCAGAGAGCCATACACATAAAGCTAGAAACATTTATTTTTGAAGGAACTGAACTGAAGCTTAACCCCAACTGTTTTGTAGCTATTACTATGAATCCAGGTTACGCAGGACGTTCTGAACTTCCAGATAATCTGAAGGTAAAATAATAAAATACATGCTTCCGCTTAAGAATGAATTTTCTGAAAAAGTTGAGGGATATGTGTATTGCTGGTATTAATTCAGACTGTACCATCTTGAATATAAACATACTTGTTAAGCGATTTACACATATTAAGCCTCTTCCCCCCCCCCGCTTTGGTTTTTTTGAAGGAATTTGAAATATTTTTCTTTTCTTTTTTTTCTTTTCTTGAAATATATTTATTTTATAAACTGTTAGTGTTTTTCATAATTAGTTTTCCAGGCCAAAGGCTGCAATGCTGTAGCAAGTAAACTGGCAAGTGTCAGGCTGTGAGTAGATTATAAGATTTGGATGCTAACTTTAAGATGGAAGGGTATGTTGGAAAAAATGCTTTAAGAAAGTATTTTTACATTGCGTTTATTGTAGTCTTATTTAAAAGAAATGTTAGCAAACTACACTTAATCATGTAATGAATTTGCTTAGGTTACCTGATTAAATAAAGTCTTTGAGATGATTGTTTTGACTAGGTTAGCTGTTTCATTGAGGAGGCTTGGCTTTAGCATAATCTGGAGCCTTTTGGAACAGCATCTCTTCCTTAAGACTCAACGTGGCACAGAGCAACTGGGCCAGAGCAAGTTGCCTCAGTGGGAACTTTACTGTGGATGCTAACTTAAAGCAGAGTTAATACAGCATGAAGAGTATACCAACTGCAGATTACTTGAAGAAAGGAAGTGCATTCTCTCACCTGCCGTGTACACCACCTTCCTTCACTTACTGCTGTGTTGGATGTATCAGTGTAAGGGGCAAACTGCATTCTTGAGACAGTGATAGGGGAAAAGAGCTGGGAGAGACAGTATCTTTTCTACACCAGATTGTACATTGAGATAGATCTTGATGGCAGCTTACTTACATTAGCTTCCTAGTGAGTCATAAGTTGCAAACATTGATAATTCTTCTATTTCATTGGCTCCCAAATGTTCTGCAGGCCACTGCTTTCCAGTGTTACTGTTTTAAATGATCTACAGCTTACCTAATCATATTAAGCGGTACTTAATTTAAAATGCTGTTACTATTTTCAGTTAGAAATGCTGTGATGGGATGAATACTGATCCATCACCTACAAAGTTCTGAATTACTTTCCATTCCTCAATTAATTATTTAAAGATACTTCTCTGAATATGTATTTCAGGTTCTTTTCCGAACAGTAGCCATGATGGTTCCTAACTATGCTCTGATAGCAGAAATTTCGCTCTATTCATACGGATTTTTGAATGCTAAGTCACTGTCAGTGAAGATAGTAATGACCTACAGGCTTTGTTCAGAACAGCTTTCCTCTCAGTATCACTATGACTATGGTATGCGAGCAGTTAAAGCTGTGTTGGTGGCTGCTGGGAATCTAAAATTGAAATTTCCCACGGAAGATGAAGATATATTGGTGAGTTCCTGTGGGAATAATTCTTAAGAAATTTTACAGATGCACGCAGTTCTGAGTTCTGAAGGCAGTTCCACCACATCCTGTCACATCGCTGGTCCATGTTTCTTAGTTTTCCTATTTGTGAAACGAAGATAGTAAAATACGTGCTGCGCTTTCCAGTGCTATGCTGATGATTGCATAGTTGTGCTTAACTGCTTATCAAAGGCACCATTTAATTAATCTTTATTACGTGTTATGTTATTTTAATTGATGAACAGCTTATTCTGTGTTTCTAATAAGAACAGTAAAATGTATATTTGTTTCCTCTAGCTTCTTAGATCAATTAAGGATGTGAACGAGCCCAAATTTTTGGTGCATGATATACCTCTGTTCATGGGTATAACTAGTGATCTATTTCCTGGAATCAACCTTCCCGATGCAGACTACAATGTAAGTACAGTTGTAACTTTTCCTTGGTTGTAATCATTGTGGGTTGTTTTGTGTTGTTTTGTTTTTAACCAAGTGTAATTAGTACAGTAATTTGTGAGTTATTGCAAGATAAGGAAAATTACTGAATGTTTGAATGAAACTTGGTACCAAAGAAAATTCTTGTATCTGTTCTGAGTATAATTCACATCTGAGTTCCCTTATGTCCAGAAGGGTTGTATAAGGCATCCTACAGATCGGAAATTGATTTGCAGATTTACCAAATTTTAGGGTCTTTTGCTGATTTCTTTCCTAATTTTTGGACATAATTAAGTGAGATTAAGCTTAGTGTTTGTATTTTCTTTTGTTTATAGCAACAATTCAAGTATAGCTCCTTTGTAGGAGGATGGTTGGGAAGGAGATGAGTGAGCATGTTGGAAAGACAAAATGTATTAACTTTTTAAAAATTTCCAGTAAATACTAGAGTGTTGTTAAAAGTGTATTGTTCCAAAGCACACTGTTGGTTCCCTGATGGTGATATGCCTTCTCCTCAAGATAAAAATTGTAATTAACTCCTGTTCTAGCATATGAAGTACAGAAGTGATTTTTTTTTTCCCAGGGATGTTTGCTATATTCTGATTAATAGTATTTCAGTTATTAATTAATCTGAAACCCTTATTCATGAGCATAAACTGTTCTACTGTAGTCCAAGACAATAATTTAAATTGTAGCAATGATAAGATTATGATCTGGTTTGATTTTAGGATTTTCTGGAATGTGCCAGCGAATGTTGCATTCGACATAATGTCCAACCTGTGAAAGCTTTTATAGAGAAAATGATACAGACATATGAAATGATGATTGTTAGACATGGGTAAGATTCCCATTACTGTTTCACAAGCAGTATTTGTTGTAATTTTGGCTTATACTGTAATGGTTATTTATATCAAATATAAAAGATCTTAAAGGTGGCAAAATGTTTCTATTTGTATTGGAACAGTTGGTCACCAATACTGCTTTTACATGTACCAAAATTCTTGTAAATGTGCGTCTGGGGAATTGTACTACTCTTGATGTGAGAAGTAGCCTCACCTGTGTAATGATTTTAGGTGCAGATATGGTGAAGACTTTGGACTGTCAAAGTTTGTCTATATTGAAATACTGCTTATCAGATCTCTGCCATTTTATTCCTAGCTTTTACTACTGAATAGCAACTGTGGAGAAAATATATACAATATGACGTTAGTCATATGATTGTTAATATTCATCTCATTAATTGATCTTTTCAGTGTGACATTGTTATAGTTGCATCCCTCTGCTGGGTGACTAAAAAAGTTTTGAAATGTGGGCGAAGATAGTTGGGGGGGGTTTTTTTGTGTGTGTGTGTGTGTGTAGTACATGTTCCTACTGTTTGTGTTCTTCCAGAACTTTGTTATAAACTCTGTCTAGACTGAAACGAAACTAGAAAGTAATCTGATTCAGCAAATAAATGAGCTAGTGTGGTGGTAAATCTGTGTTTTAGAGGACAACTTGCATACAGTGGCTGTGCAATCAGATTTGTGTGTGCAAATAAACTGGTTTTGACTAAATGATGTTTCCTATATATAAACCAGATTTACTTGTTCTGCTTTTTGAAAATTAGATGAAAAATAGCTTTAAGCATATGAATGGTGCTGTTGGCCTTCATGTGGTCTATAAAAGTCTAAATTGCAAGACAAATTCATTAATAGCATTCTTTTTCCATCTAACAGCTTTATGCTTGTAGGGGAATCTTTCTCTGGGAAGACCAAAGTTCTACATGTGTTGGCAGATACACTGTCTCTTATGAAAGAGCGTGGTTATGGTGATGAAGAAAAAGTAATTTTTAGAACTGTGAATCCAAAATCAATCACTATGGGTCAGCTTTTTGGGCAGTTTGATATGGTATCCCATGAGGTAATGTATGTTTTAAAAATAGCGTATAGTAATTGCCTGCCTTTATCTGTTTCTTCCTCTCACCTGCTGTGGCTTTCATGGGATTTGTGTGAGTGCACTTGTGTAAGTGTGTTCTAACTTCAGGTTAACTCATGGTGTTATTCCACAGTTGTTTTCAGGGGCAGGAAAGACAGTTTACAAGGCTTCTGCTTCTGGTTTTTAAGTCCCAATTCCAGACAGCATTTCTTCATCTGTTCCCTGGACTCCAGGCAGTGTTTATAGGGCTGTGCTATAAATTAAATTACTGTTTGGTTTTAAGAAAAAAGAAGCAAACATACCAGTGTGGGTTCAAGACTAGGAGCTAATAATCTGTCTGTTTTTTCTGCTTTGTAGTGTTTCTAGTACTTTCTTTTTTTTTTTCCTTTTCCTGTATATGTCAGACCTCCATTATTCTGGGTTGTAAACTGTTGAATTCATAATTTTATGATTTTAAACACAGATGAGAACACAATCGTAATTTTAATTTTAACTAATACTTTTATGGCTTGTTTTAAATTAGTGTATAAAAAGATGCAGTACCAAGTGTGTATGCAGTTATGTAGGTTTAAATATGCAAAAAAAAGCAATACCATTCTGAGGGTCATTGTCCTAATGTAGTTGCATCCATGCTAGGAAATCATACCAAATTTAACTGAATTCATTTCTCTGTCTGTTCCTAACCAGTATAATCAAAGTAATGCAGAAACTATCTGGAAAAACTTAAGAACGTAAGGATTGCCAAGTGTGAAACTTAGGTTTGGAGAAGAAACAATATGAAGAAGTGAATGTGAAATAGTCAAACTTAGGGTGACTCTGGGGAGAAACAGATGCAAGACAGAGCAGAAGCACTTCTAGGTTTCTGTAAATTGAATTGCCGGTCTTCTGTTTGTTACAATATTTTTTAAAGTGAAAAAATCACTATTTTAAAATTTGCTGATGTTGCATGACCCTCAGTGAAACTGCAAAGTTATGTTCTGCTCTCTGCAGAACAAGAGAAGAATAATTAAAAGAGAGGAATAATGAAAAGGAAATGCAAGGCTTTCCTGTTACTTGCAGTTTAAATTGAGCTATGTATACTATGTCTTACTTTTCATTCCTACATTCTCCTCCTCTAGTGGACAGATGGTATAATTGCTAATACTTTCAGAGAATTTGCATTATCTGAGACTCCTGAACGCAAATGGGTTATCTTTGATGGCCCAATTGATACTCTGTGGATAGAAAGCATGAACACAGTTCTGGATGACAACAAAAAGGTATCAGTCAGTGGAAATAAATACCTAAATAAAATAATGTGACATTTTGAAAATATTCTTCTGCGTATAAAACCACAAATGCAAATAGCAATGCCTGGCATTTGAAAAGAGCAAGTGCAAGGTGGCTTGGATAACAAGTTGTAAGCTTTTTTTGGTTGGTTTTTTGGTTTTTGGTTTTTTTTAACTTTACTTTATTGGAATCATAATCACTGAATCAACTCATTGCTGTAAGACAGTAAATGTATAGTATTTTCTTAATGTTATATTGTAAGTTTGTAATATAAATAATTGAAATTTAAATTTAAAAAAATACATTTAATTATATTTAATGTAAATCCCACAGTTTCAAAACTTGCACAAACTTAGACACTTCGTTTAAAGACAATCTCAAGACACAAAGGGTTGTATTTTCAAAATTAATGACTTCTGAATTCAAAGTTGTAACCATACAGCACTTTTGAAAATGGGCCTTAGGAATCTCAAAGTGAATATAAAAATTAGAGATAACATTTTAAATTTAAGTTCTGGATGATAGTGTGTCAAAATACTCAAACTGGTCTTATATCTTAATAAGTAAGAATAGTGGGTCTCCAGCTGGAATGCTTCAGTATTAGCAACAATAGCAGCAGATATCCTTTCTCCTTTCTGCTTGCTGTCTTTTCTTTATCCTGTCGTACGCAAGATTGGTAGTTACTTGTAAGGAACCTACTGGTAGGATAATGTGGAGTACTATGGTTTAAGTGAAGAATTTAGCTAAAGATTGAAAAAAAGTGGTTAAACATTTTACGTGGTTGACTTTGCCTTTGGTTATACTTGGTTTTGCTGATTTTCATATAGAACTCTCCTATGATAGGAAGTGTAATTTGCAACTAATTTTTTTTTCTAATCTTGCTTGTGAATTTTTTTTTTATTATTAAAGCTTTGTTTGATGAGTGGGGAAATCATCCAAATGTCCCTTCAGATGAATCTTATTTTTGAAACAATGGATCTTTCCCAGGCATCAGTAAGTTTTGTATTTAATGAAAATATAAACCAAAGTTCAATATATTAAATGTGTAATAAAATGAGTTTACAATTTTTCCTTAGCCTGCTACAGTCAGTCGTTGTGGCATGATTTATTTGGAACCTTCTCAACTGGGCTGGAGGCCACTTGTTACCTCTTGGTTGAGTAAACTGCCTGAACCTCTTAACTTAAAGGGACATCAAGATCTTCTGCAGGGACTTTTTGATTGGTTAATACCACCAGCATTAAGATTCCATCAGAAACAGTGCAAGGTATTTTTTGCCATTTTTTCCTGCAGTAGCTAGGTGGCCATTTCCATTTTGTTACCCTTGGTAGGGAGGGACTATTCTCTCATGACAAGCACAATTAGAATGAATATGCAGCAGCCTCCTGTTGTTTTGAGAAGGGCAACTCTTGGGTCCAGTTTGGAAAATTAAAATGAGAATGTTCAGTAAGGCAGAATTGTATTGTAAGTTGATCATAGTTTTCATCTTGTTCTTTTCAAAAGTAAAGTAAGTATTTAAAGCACTGAGTGGAAAGTCTTCCCAAGAGAATTTTGTACATATATTTTTTTCTTTAAAGATGTCATGTAGAATTTTTAAGTGTTAGGGGAAACGTACATGTAGTTCCTTGCAAACTCTGTGTGATATAGTGCGTAGGCTTTTGCTCATGTATTGCTGTAGCTACTTCTGTGGAGGTTTTTGTTTTAAGATGTATGATTGTAGTGGTCATATGATAGCCATGAACATGGTTAACAAGCTAAATGTCTTGATGTTTCAAGGATAGAGGAGGGCAAATGAGCTTTTGAATAAAAGTCAGTGTAAACCTTGCCTTCAAATATTTGTTCAGAGTTAGCTAATTGTCTAATTATTTTAGTATTTTAGCTCCAAAAGATAAACTAACTGAACAGGTGAAGTATAATACTCATCCTTTTGTATCTCTCAGGAACTGGTACCTACAAGCAATACCAATGTTGTAGTAGCTCTTACACGGCTTTTTGAAATGTTGATTTGTCAAACTGTGCAAGAAGATCCCACCAACAGAAACATCCGTGCATGGATTATGGTTGGTTTTTTCAGCCTGTAGAAAAATGTATATCTGTTTCTGCATATGCCGGTGTCCGGTCTTCAAAAATAATTGGACTAACCAAAACAACTTTAATTTCATATGAGATGTGTGAAACAATTTGCTACCTCCTTGCTCCCTCCCCGCTAACTTTGGAGATGCCCAGATGAGACACAAGTCTTACAAATAACAAATATGATTAAATATTTTACTATTTTTCCAGTTAACTGGGATAAATAGTATTTTTGTTAAATGTGCTTTTTAACTAAGCAAGTAATTAGCTAAAGCAAAGTGTCTTGTTTCCCTTAAAGGAAATAAGTGTTCATGTAATACTGATTGGCTTGTTTAAGCAAAATTTCCTTGAGAAGAGTGTTTTCTGAGAGTTGTATTAGTTGGACTCTCTGTCTGACCTTATATGACTGTTCTTATGAAAAACTGAAGAAAACAATGTAAAAGTATTTATTTAAAATTGAATTAGAAAATTCCTAGATCCTGGTTTGCGATTAGAAAATCCTGAGACCACATGATTGAACTCTTCTCAGGCTTTGTCATGTGACATAATGCTTTAGTCAGTGGCCTTTATTTTTTGTCATATATATATATCCTTGAATAAGGTTTTTTGCTCTGTCTTTAATCGGATTTCTAAATCTCTTTAGACCAGAGCTATTCAAGGGTAACTTCTAACACCTATCTGCTTAACTGTATTTTTCAGAATTATATTTGTTAATTAGACTGTACAAGGTTCATATAATACGTCAACTTTTTAGACAGTTGCTTCTCTTTTTGCCCTTGCAGGGTTGCTTTGCTTTTGCCACCATCTGGTCCATTGGTGGAACTTGTGATGGTGACAGCAGGATAATTTTTGATAATTTCTTGAGGGAGACTTTGGCTGGGAAATCTGGAATAAATCCTTTACCAACGAGTGTGGGAAAATGGGAGTGTCCCTTTGAAGAGCAAGGCTTGGTCTATGACTACATGTATGAGGTATGATTGATTGCTTCTGCATTGACTGAAGTAGATTCTTACAGTCTGAATGGAAGGAAGATACAGCTAGGTGGATATTTTAACTTTACAAAGCCTGTTGGATGTTGTAGAGTGTTGGGGTTGGATTATGCCCCACAGTGTATTTTTCATTTATTTTTCTTTTTTGAATACTAATGTGCTGACCAAATTTTTTTAGAAAATACCAGGAGGTACACATCAGTTATATTTATAATGTTGCCACATTATAGTTATTCTGTAGCTAACGTTAAGCTGACTTACTCAAGTTTGGTTTCGTATAGAAGGAAAGAAGTGGACTGTCTTAGAAGGAAAGCAGGTTATTGAGCCCTGCTTTTATAAGTTTGCTTATATTACAATTTTTTATAGTATCCATTAGAAATGTTAGATAATAATTACACTTTTTAATTTTTGTATATGTTCTTCTGTTGGGTTTTTGTATGATTTTGTTTGTTTGATTTGGATGAACAAAATCTTTAAGGAAAGAAAGGAGTCTAAGCTTAGGTATGTATTTTAACACTTTATTAGTGAGATAAAGCAAACTAAATATATAAACTTCTGAAACATTTAATATTAATTAATTTATTAAAATTCATTATTTTCATTTTTCGCAAGTGAAGTGGTAGAGAAAACCTTCCATATTTATAGAAGTAACATCATTCTATTTTACATCTGTATTTCTTCCTAGCTGAAAGGCAGAGGATGTTGGGTTCATTGGAATGGATTTATTAAAAATATTAATTACAGTGATAAAAATGTGAAGATTCAAGATATTATAGTCCCAACTATGGATACAGTCCGATATACCTATTTGATAGAACTATTCATTACCCATGGAAAGTAAGTTATGTCACTTCGGTGCAAACTTCTGAAATATTGGTCATAGGTAGAAATATCTCTTATTCTTTCCATTGATTTATCAAGCCCTCAAAGTTTATTTGGCCTGTTAAAAATAGACATTTACTACAAACAATACAATTTGTTGCCTTAAATTCAGTTTTTGGGGTTTTTTTATGAAGCCTTATTATAATCCAGTTTTAGTATGTTCGTTTTGATGATGCTGTTATGACAGCCCAAAGAGTTTTTGTACCCTCTTTCTTTTTTGGTAATGAAATTTTTTTTTTTTTCCTTTGATTAGTCATTTCAAAATCAGTTATGTTAGCTATGGTCAGATCATATAAGAGAATGAAATATAAAACAGCCTCAGGTTAAATTTCAAGGCTGAAAGTTTTATGAAATTTAAACTGCTGCAAGACCTCTCAGGAGAAATTTAACTCCCATGTACGTTCATACATACTCCAAAGCCAGCAGAATGAGGGAATGAGAAATGTCTCTTTCTCTTTGTCCCCTTGTTGGTGGGAGCAAACTAAAATTATGAGAGGGTTATATGAATATGTTAAAACATTTTAGCTTCTTAATGTTTTTAGAGATAGAACAAGCAGGGCAAGTTAGTAAAACCTTTGACCTCTAACTGCAATTAGTTTATAGTTTGTTAGATTTCTGCAGTCTGTATGCTTTATTACTTTCTTTGTGAAGACCACTGCTTTTAGTGGGACCAACAGGTACTGGGAAATCTGTGTATGTCAAGGACAAGTTAATGAACAACTTGGAAAAGGAGCGCTACTTTCCCTTCTTCATTAATTTTTCAGCTCGAACCAGTGCCAATCAGACCCAGGTTAGTAGAACAGATAATTTACGTTTCAAAAAGATAACATATATGAATATTTAATCTATGTTTTGAATATTCCTGTCTGCATTATAGAACATTATTATGGCCAGGCTGGACAAGAGGCGCAAAGGAGTCTTTGGCCCTCCAATGGGAAAAAAGTGCATTATTTTTGTAGATGATATGAATATGCCTGCTTTGGAGAAGTATGGTGCACAGCCTCCTATAGAACTTTTAAGACAGTTCTTTGACCATGGATTTTGGTAATTATTTGAAATACAATTGAAACCTTTTTGTTGCTGCATTTCCTGTTATATTTATTTAATCACTTGAATTTTACTTTCAAAACCTTTTTAAAGTGCTTTGTAAATGTTAAGATAGCTTTGGTTTATATGAAAATATATTATTTAAAGTTGAAGCAATTTCTGTGTTGCTCTTTAAGTGGCTTTTCAATTTAGGAAATTGATCATCAGATTCGTTTTGGGTTTTTTAGAAGGTTTTATTGCTGAACTTCAGCAGTATTTGTAGAATAAATAAAATCATTCTTTTACACCTGGATTTTTTTATGTTTGTGTTTTTCATTGGTTTTATTTTTCCTTTCTCTTCCTCCTCAGAGTTTCTTCCTTTCTCTTCCTCCTTAGAGTAAAGTGGCAAGTTTGTATCTACATATATAGAGAGAGAGAGATATAAAAGTTTTATATATGCAATTATATAAAACTTTTGATTTTACTCATTGTATTGGTTTTTACTGTCATCCAAGATCACTTTTTTTTTTTTTTAAAACAACATTTCAAAATAATTTTTTAAAATAACAATGAAATCAGATCCGGAAATAGGCATTAAGAAGAACAAGCTAAAGGTCTTCCCTGCTTTTGAGGTTTTTGGCTCTGCTTAGATTGGAAGACTGTAACAGGTGGTCTCCAGAGGTCCATTCCAGCCTGAATTATTCTGTGATTCCAGGCACTTCTCAAATACTGTTTCCTTTTGTGATTCCAGGCTCAAATATCTGCTGCTCTTGCATAGAGATAATATATCTTGCCACATTACAGTTTCAAATACTTATCTCAAAATTTCGTGTCAGGTTTTATGTAACCCAGTTTAAACAAATAATCTTTCTTTCAGGCCAGCATGATGTGTTGAGATTAACTGGGGCATAGTTATAAGACTAGTTGTTCTTCATTTTGGGGGGGGGGT